GAATCAATAAACATATTGTTATTTCTACTGCGTGAATTGTCAGCCTTCATAAAATAAATTTGATTGAATCAACAAGAAATCTCTTTTAAAAACAAACATATTTTCTTGTTGACCCAGCTGCCAAATTTGACAGCTTACGTCAAAACCATGAAAGCTCTTGTAAATTCGAAAAGATTTTCTTTTTGATTTAACAATCCATGGGTTTTAAGGGACAACAATAATGGATTGTTGAAACAATAATGATTTCTTTTTGCAGCCAAAACAACATGAAATTCTTATTGCATTTACGTCAAATATTATTACGCTTAAAATATTTTTTTCTGCGTGTAACATATAAGTGAATTATATCTGGGTAAGTATCTGGCAAGACGATTGAAAATCTGGAAAATCAAATAAATCAGGAATACTGGCAACGCTGTCTCGTTTCATGCCCGTAGAGACAACCGACACTCATCCCATTTTCAGTATTTTGCTACCCACAGTATTTATTGTACCGTCCCTGTATTCATAATATGCTACTCGACGCAGGTATAAAACCACCCTGGAAGGTCGAAATGTCATCATTATTCAATTGACGGACAGCGAGGAGAGCACATCTCCATAAAAGCAGCAGCGGTGTTAGCATCAGACTCTCAGACTGTTGAGCAGTTCAGTCGATTTGAATTCTCTCTAGTTTCGTTCGTTCGTTCGCAAGTCGAATTAGCTCCGCGTTGTGTAGTGACGCTCTCGCTGACCCAGCCATGGGTAAGAAATCGCGCGGTAACGCGAGTGGCGGTTTACCGGGAAAACAGACTCTCCCAGGAGACGGCGCGACCACCGAGCCAGCCCAGAAGAAGCAGAAGAAAACCCCATTGCCCATCCCGACAGGCGTTGCGGACCCGCAGCCGGGGCCTCCCGGAACTAAACGACCCAGACCTGAAGACAGCAGCGCCACCGTATCAGCAGCAAAAAAGCTGCTGAGCAACAATCCGTTCTCCGCCCTGCAGAACGGAGCGCAGCCGCAGTCGGACCCTGAGACGGTGCCGAAAAAAGTTAAGTTGCCACCCTTCTATGTGAAGGGCTTCCCTCCCGGGCTATGGGAGCAGCTGGATTTCTACATTAAGCAGGGCCTTCGCTGCACCATTCAACGGTGCACGGAAGGCTACAAACTGATGGTCCCGGCAAAAAATAATACAACGCAGTTCAGGCCCTCTTGGACAGAATGAAGCTGGAGTACTTCTCCCACGACATCGAGGCCACCAAGCCGCTGAAAGTGGTGCTGCGCGGGCTCCACGACATGGACACCACCACCTTAATGGACGAGATTAAGGCGAACGGCCTCAAGCCGGTCGAAGTCCACAAGATGACCCGCAGCAAGGCCATCAAGTATCGTGACCAGCTCTACCTGGTCCATCTGGAGAAGAACTCCACAACCGTGAAGGATCTCCAGACGACACGCACACTGTTCCACATCGTAGTGAAGTGGGAGCGGTATAAACCCACCCACCGTGGCGTCACTCAGTGCTCGAACTGCCTATTGTTCGGGCACGGCACCAGGAATTGCCGCATGGCCAGCCGCTGCATCAAATGCGGCAAAAACCACAAGATCGACAACTGCGACAGCATCGAGGAAGCCACTCCCACATGCGCCAACTGCGGTGCCGCCCACAAGGCCACGAGTAAGGCCTGTCCGAAGCGGGCCGAATACGCCGAGATCCGGAAGAAGGCCTCGTCCAACAGCCAGCCCGGTCGCAAGAAGGTTCCAGAAAACAACGCGCAGAACTTTCCTCCGTTATCACCGGTCCAATCACGGCCAATTCCAGTGTTGCCGCCGCTCCCGCTCAACCAACAGTTGGCTGCCGCTGCAGTACCCGGTCAAGCCTCCGGGCCATCGACGGATCCCCCTGCTCCGGGATTGGCCGGTACAACCGGTGAAGCTACAGACGATTCTCCGCTGTCAACGGATGAGATCGTCACACTGTTGGCCCAGGCCATCATCATCAAGCACACCTGCGCAACAAGAACACAACAGCTCCAAGCTATCATCTCCTTCGTCGCTAATTATGGACCGTGAACCCATAAAGATCGCCAACTGGAACGCTCGCTCCGTAGGGGCGAAAAACATTGAGCTTGCAGACTTCCTCCGCAAGCACGACATCGACGTGGGCCTTCTCACCGAGACTCACCTCAAGACCGGTGACAGCTTCTGGCTGCCCGACCACAGCATTGTCCGGCTTGATCGCACCAGCTCCAGGGGGGGCGGTGTCGCGGTCATCATCAAGAAAGGCATCAAGTACTGCACCCTACCCCACTACCGCACTTCCATCATCGAGGCCGTTGGCGTAGAGGTGGAAACATCGACCGGAAACGTCCGGTTCATCGCCGCCTACTGCCCCCGGCAATGTACCGTTAGCAATGGTACAGCACAGCAGTTCAAGAACGACCTTGCCATCATAACCCACACCAATGCCCGCTTTGTAATCGGAGGGGACCTGAACGCCCGGCACGAGGCCTGGCGGAACTACCAGCAGAACCAGAATGGCCGCCTGCTATTCGACCATTCCCAACATGGTCTCTATTCCGTCTGGTTTCCGGACGAACCAACCTTCACATCACCGACGGGCAACCCATCGACGCTGGACCTGTTCTTGGCAAACACCAGATTAGCCAAGCCGGTTGCCGTCAACGACCTGAGTTCGGACCACCAACCGGTGCTGACCGAGCTGGGCTACAACGTGGCCCCTGCACCGTGCCAGCGGAAGGACTACCATCGAGTCAACTGGGTCCAGTTTCGACGCGTGGTCGACCGCCACATCGACGACAACCCACCGCTCGACACAGTGGATGACATCGACCGGGCCCTGGAGGGTCTCCATCAAGCCATATCCGTGGCTGACGAAGAGTGCGTTCGACGAGTTCCTGTGAGGGGTAAGTTTCAAGCAATTGATTCCCACACCAAACTCTTGATTCGGCTCAGAAATGTTCGTAGACGCCAGTTTCAGCGGACTGGGGATCTGCAGCGTAAATACGAAATGGTCGATCTGAATCGGCAGATCGCTTCCAGAATGGTCTCAATCCGGAACGAGAGTTTCGGGCGGCTCGTTCAGAACCTGGACGACCGTTCCAGACCATTCTGGAAGGTTGCCAAGGTGCTGAAGTCTCACCCCAAGCCCATTCCACCACTTAGAGTCAATGACGAACGGCTTATCACCAACGAAGAGAAGGCCAATGCAATTGGGGAGCACATTGCCCAGTCGCATTTGCTTGGCTCTACAATCCCAAGTCCACTCGAGAACCAGGTTGTGCAGTGCGTCCAGACGTTAGATGCCTCCCCTTGTGCCGTCCCTCCAGAAGAACGGATTACAGAGGAACAAATTTGCTCAGCGCTGAAACACAGTACGAACATGAAGGCTCCCGGGTTTGACGGAATATTCAACCTAGAGTTGAAAAATCTCAGCGCGAGGGTGCACTCGCTGCTGGCTGCCATCCTCAACAGATGCTTGGAGCTGCACTACTTTCCAAGCATCTGGAAGGTGGCAAAAATCATCCCGATCCGCAAACCTGGGAAAGACCCTTCACTACCGTCAAGCTACAGACCGATTAGCCTGCTCTCAGCGCTGAGCAAGCTGTTCGAAAAATTGATCCTCAGCCGACTAAACAAGTTTGTGGAGGAACATGACATTCTTCTTCCGGAACAGTTCGGGTTCCGTAAGGGGCATTCCACCAATCATCAGCTAGTGCGGGTGATGAATAACATCCGGAGTAACAAAGCTGTATCCAAGTCCACAGCCATGGCCTTGTTAGACGTCGAAAAGGCGTTTGACAATGTCTGGCACGACGGACTTATATACAAGCTTTGTAACTCCAACTTTCCACCATACCTTGTGAAAATCACCCGTAACTATCTCCAGCAAAGGTCGTTCAGGGTGTCGTTAAATAGTTCCCTTTCGGGACAATTTCCGATCCCAGCAGGTGTTCCGCAAGGGAGTCTGCTGGGACCACTGCTTTACAGCATCTACACGTCGGACATCCCTCCTCTAGGAGACGGTTGCGTGTTCTTTCTGTTTGCAGATGACACCGCGATAGCCGTCAAGGGTAGGATGCCTCGTGAAATTACGAACAAGCTCCAACGATGCCTTGACACCTTTACTGATTATGCCACCACGTGGAAAATCAAAATCAACGCCTCGAAAACCCAAGCGATCATGTTCCTTCACAGACAATCATTAAAACTTAAACCGTCTCCCTCCTGTACCGTAATAATGGATGGTACAAGGGTCGAGTGGTCCACTGATGTTACTTATCTCGGGATGTTGTTCGATGAGAAGCTCCTGTTCCGCTCGCACATAGAGAAAACCCTAGTTAAGTGCTCCGCCTTGGTTAGGTGTTTGTATCCGCTCATTTGCCGCATATCCCGCCTCTCAAGGCAAAACAAACTGGCTGTTTACAAACAGATCATAGCCCCCGCGATCTTCTATGCCGCCCCGGTGTGGGAATCGTGCGCTCAGACCCACAGGAACAAAATCCAGGTTGCACAGAATAGAGTGTTGAGGATGATCCTAGATCGTCCATTCGACACAAGAATAGCAGACCTCCATCAAGAGGCAGAAATTCCCAAAGTAGATTCCAAAATTGATGATATGACAACTAAATTTATTCAAAAATGCAATCTTTCTGAACATGCTTTAATAAGCAATTTGTACATAGTAGGTTAAGTGTATATAGTAGAGTAGGTTAGTTTTAAGCTGTAAATAGTAGTATTAAGTAGTTTCTCTTCAAATTCTAAAAACAAAACAAACCAATCCCACCAAGGTGGTCGACCGTGTACTAAGTCTAGGACTAATTCTGTAAAACAAATTTTGAATTTTGCCCATACCTAAAGATGAAGAAAGCAATTAAATCACTTAGTAAAAATTTATATGGTAATCGTCCAAGTTAAACTAAAATAAAGATCATTTAAACTAACTAACGAAATGTCATCATTACAGTTTCAGCATCGAACTGTTCGTGTCGTTCGCATTATGTCTGGACGTGGAAAAGGAGGCAAAGTCAAGGGAAAGGCAAAGTCCCGTTCGAGCCGCGCTGGATTACAGTTTCCAGTCGGTCGTATTCACCGTCTACTCCGAAAGGGCAACTATGCCGAGCGTGTTGGAGCCGGTGCTCCCGTCTACCTGGCTGCCGTGATGGAGTATCTGGCCGCTGAAGTTCTCGAGTTGGCAGGAAATGCCGCTCGTGACAACAAGAAAACCCGAATTATCCCACGTCACCTGCAGTTGGCCATCCGCAACGACGAAGAGCTGAACAAACTTCTTTCCGGAGTGACCATCGCTCAGGGTGGTGTCCTGCCAAACATCCAGGCCGTCCTGTTGCCCAAGAAGACCGAAAAGAAGGCTTAAATTCGATCGAAGTTCCCACCCTTTAACAAAATCCGTCCTTTTCAGGACGACCAATTTGATGGTAAAGAGTTTCGTTTTCAAAACAGTGTCCTTCGTGGTGCGCAAGGAGTGATAAAATCGACAGTGAGCATTCATAAGGGCGTATACGATTCTCTTCATCGATTTTCTCTTTTCTTAATAACTCGCTAGATTTAACGTTTGTTGTTGCTTTTGAAAGCCAATACAACCTATTACAACTCTACATTGAACAAATTCTACAAAATTGTTTCGCTTAGCTGTAGCAATGCAAAGAGAAAAAAAGATGAAGAGAATCGATCTTCGCGTATACGCCCTTATGCATGCTCACTGTCGAAATGAATCCATTAAAAACATGGTTGAATCTTTCTGTCATGCTCTCCCTAGTTAATTGATATCCTCATCGAGTAAGTTCGATGATGGTTGATTAGTGTAGGCGTGTCTTGAATTCCAAGAAATTAACCAGTGCAGTGTTATCATTCCATCCATATCTAAAATTAAACTAACGACTAAATTTTCAATAGCGCCCTAAAATATCAATCAACCGTCCCAAAGACGCGTTCATATAGATAAGATTGGTAAATAGCAGATTTTTAGCGATGGGCCCAATCTTAGATCCATTTCCCCTACCTTGCAGAGCTGCGGTGGCCCTGGACTTATGGCCTACATTGATGCAGCGGAATGAAATTCATTAGCAAATTAGGTTGAGATTTCAGAAATGATCGTGGTGTGCGTCCAATTTGAAGTGTGGTGTGATTTCTGATAAGGTATTAGTACCTCTGGAAGTGAATTAACTACCTACGTGACATCGGTTTACTGGATTCCGGTAAATGTACCTTACTCTCCGCTTTGGACGTGAACTGCTGGCCTTCAATAAATTGAGTGATTTGACTAGTAACTTCAAAAGAGGTTTTCCTCGGACCACTGATTCTGAACTGTATTGTTCCTTCATTGCTCAACATTTACCGTTACCGTTGGGACTTCCGGTCTTCTTTGCTTAGTCAACCGGTTTATCGTATTGAAGCGATACTCCTAGATTATTATTACGCCTATACTGTGGGCTCATAGAACAATAAAACCGAGCCTGGTTAGTAGGTGAACACAAAATACTAAAGCAGAACATTCTACCAACATATAGAGTCCAAGAGATTCCTTCAAAAATGCACAATATATGCGACCGAAACTTCGGATGAAATCCAAACAGATATTTTGAGAGGAACCAGTCGATCACAATCCTCTTATTGAGTTTAACCGGTATTAACAGAGAAATAAGACACGTTAACCACGAATCCTTGGGAATGATCGTGACACGCTTCATATGCATGACGAATCGTCCTCATCTCATTCTCAGAAAATGGTACCCATTATTTTAATCGGCATCCTTTTGAAAAATTCCCCTCACAAAAAGGCTTTTCATGTACTGCCAGAGGGTAGGGGGAGAGTGGCAATTTAATTATTACTAAAATGAACGAAATTTACGATGTGCGCTTCCATCGTGCAAACTTTATTTTGATTGCCGAAGCACACTCAAAAAATTTACCACATAGGTATCTAATGGATGAAAACCATGTGAATTTCACATAGCTAAAAATCCCACCACAAAATCACATGAATATCAGGAGGCCGATGAAAGTCATGAAAAAAGTGTCGGAAAGGCATTAGAAAATTAATCGTTAAACTCTTTCTTGATAATGTTGTGGCCCTGAAAAGGGCCATTTTTCCAACGCACTCGGCGTAGTTGCCCTTGCGGAGCATACGGTGAATACGACCGACTGAGAACTGCAGCAGCTGGGCATTCCATGACGGCGGCCCAGTATACCGGAGCACTGGCACCAACGCACTCGGCGTAGTTGCCCTTTCACCCCCAGGCTCTGCTGCCGCTGCTCTGCTGCCGTTGCTCTGCTACCGCTGCTCTGCTGCTCTGCTGCTGGGTCGACGATCGGATAGACAATGATGGAACGGGCGACCTTGTTGGACGCTTATATAGTAGAACAGAAAATATCAGAGGTGTCAGATACTCGCATCTGATGTCTCAGTTGGAGAAAGTATAAGAATATAAAAAAATCAATCGATTTTCACCATCTTTAGACAATGGTTTACTCTTAACCATTTTTCAATAGTTTACAGAATGAAATCAATAGTTTTGAAACATTCAGTAAATTGCTAGAAATATTTCCAATCGATTGATGCCATTATCTCGTAAATCTATCGAGAGATGGTTGAGTTATTATCGTTCAAAATCTTTTAATTTTTCGTAACTCATCCAAAATGACTGTTTTCAATTTTGTACCCCCGTATGTTGCCGAAAGACGTTATCCAACGTCAAAATTGTCGAAAGTTGAAAAACATACCAGCCTTCTCCAGATCTTGCGATGACAATCGAAATAACAACCGACAGCAAACCACTGAAACTGTTAGTTGGCGGAGATCAGCTGGTTTCCGATCCAAAGCAGCGATTTTATTCGGCGAAAGACTCTTCGAAAATTTTATTCAACCGTACATCTCTGCATCATTGGATGGTGCACTTCTGTAACCATCCGGAAGAAGGGGATCTTTTTCGGGAACGATTGCGCTTCCAGCTGTTCGAAAAGCGAAATGTTGTAAAACTAGTATCGCAAATTATCTGAGTAACTGCTCCCAATCCATCGGGAGAAAACCGCCTGGAAGAATCCTGGATCTCACAGCGCAACTATCGAAAGATAAACAAACTTTGACTTTTAACTTTTTGCAGGCAACTTTGCCTCCATAAATGCTGCCATAAAGCTGAACGGGTTAGGATCAAGCAAAATGCCTTTAGATAAATACAATTCAGCCTGCAAGTTTTCTTCATAAAAGTAATTTTAAAACCTTATTAATTTGTTAAGGAATTCTTGAAAGCAAAACAACTTTTTCACAAATGACCCATGAAAATCAACTTTTATGCCACCGCCATGATACAATTAGTTTGCTTGTTTTATACAATCTTCGATTTTCAATCAATATTTCTTTAGATATAACTATATTTTGGTAAATTTAGCAATGAGCAAACATTTAAATGCGAAAATAATTAAAAAAAAAATCTCGGCCAAGCTCGATCTGAAGAAAAATATATTATTTATACAATGTTAAATAATTGGTCAAATCGACGTTTTACGAGGTTGGACTTAGTTTTTAGATGTTTTCAAGTACATTTCACATAAAATTTGATATTGCACTTAAAACTTAAAACTATTGTAATAAATTTGCAAATTCAACAAGATTTTTATACCATCAGTTTCTATTTTAATTATTTTGATAAGATCGGATTCATAAATCCTTTTCTATCTTGATTGATGATTTCTTAGTGGATTCAGCATGTGGCTAGGGGAAACGGCTCGGAAAGGGTTTTTTATTGTTGCTAAATAGCTTTTATTGTAGCTTTCAAATGGTTCTCAATGCGTTCGTCATACAACCTTTTGCAGTAAATCAATCTTGAATAGCTTCGAGAATACACCCTTCAGAACCTTCTCCAGGGTGGGCCAACTAGACATATTCTGGTCATAATGAGGTTATGGTGGATGCATTAATGACAAAATAACCTTGACCAGGGTTTTATGAATGTTGTTTTATAGTTGCTTTGTAGTATTTTATAAAACTCAAAATGTTACTTGGGATGCTTACAGTTTCCGCAATTTTATTGTGTGGAATACCAACATAAGCTGTGAGCCGACAAATGACCATAGCTGCCACTTTTTTAATGTCTTCCAATGTTATAGATCTGGACGTTGTATTTGTTTCAGGGAATTGCTCACTACTTTGTGATGTGAAACACGAAGGTTCACCAGGAGTCCATGTTTCTTTAAGCTATGAGCTCGGTGAATGCTTTTCCTTGATGTGCCTCTTCAGGGAACGCAAATGCTGATAGCGCATTTGGCATCTTGGGTATGTACAATCAAAAAACGCGAAATTTTCTTCTAAATGACTCTTTTCAATGTGCCAATTAACATGGTGCCCGAGCCCCTCTATATAGCCCGGAATCGGCTGACCGCAGAAAAAAACAAATGATGGGATCTTCATGCATCTGAAGATCCATCTTCAAAGTACAATGAAAAAAAAAATGTATTTTAATTTTACTTACGTAAAAGATCTCTTACTTCTCCATCAAGAGCTCCAATTTGTTTTAATATGTCTTCCATTTTTTAACACTTACTTTAACTGCGCACTTTAACTACGGAGAACTGCGCAATATTCAATTTTAAAATGGCGGAAAAATGTTGAGTTTGGCAATATAGACAATTTCCAAACCGTTCGGTACGTTTTACAGTATGGTTTGTAAAAGGCTTTTTTTTACAGTACATTCGTCAATTTTTGACAGTATTGCGGGATTGCAGGCATTTACAATTTCGATCAGTAATGTTTATATACAGTTTTCGGTAATTTTCTGCAAATTAAAGAAATGCAGTTTTTTTTTTATTGCTGGAAAGTGGTAAAACATCAAATTTGACCAAACATTCGGTAAAAAATATATTTTACAGACCAAATTCAGCAAAAAAAGTACCGAACAAAATTTAAGAATTTTGGTGTGTATGAATAGCAAAGGAATTTGTTAACAGTACAATTTTTTTTATATCTTTATTAAGGAGACTTTCAGCCCTGGGCTGGTTCGTCTCCGTCAGTACAATATGTAAAAAGGCTAACAGTCAATGAACAAAAAGTTTTGTTTTCCCATAGTAATTTCCATATAAACTTCAAATGGTTTGTGCCAAGTCAGTTTCTTGTCAAATGAGTTTAAACTTTCGGAGGCTAATCAGGACCCGGTTTCAAACCGTTTGAACACTGTGGAGTGACAATTTTAAATTTTGCATCAGTCTAATGAGCACCCATAGAAAGAGGAAGAAACTGCACCGCTATTGATCGGAATCAGTAGCTCTTCGTGAATTGCTGTGGGCCATCTATGTCAAGCGCGGCATTCTAAAGAGTATTAACAGAAAGAATCCCGCTCAAATTCCTATTCCTACACAAAACACGAGCTCCTGCTGCAGTTGACA